TCTATGGATACAACCCAGAAATAATGAGAATTTCTACAAATAATAAGTCTGAATTCATCATCTAGAAACTGTCCCTTTATAATTTCCCCTCCCCAGTACTCCAGAACCCCTGGTGGTAAACAGTGAGCTCCTCACACGAGGTCCTTCACACAAGGCAGCTGACCGGCTGGCGGGGGCTCTCCTTCCTAGGGAGCTTGCAAAGTGAAGGTGTGCTCCCTGGGCTGGGAGCTCATGGGATGTGCCCACATACACCCAGCAGAGGCCCCTGGACACAGTACATATAGAATGCTGTAGACATACCCTGGATCCACTAGAGAAAGCAGACACTCAGGGGACCTGTGGGCATCACCCCCAGGGAGGCTGGAAAGGACCAGGTACTTCCTTCCTTCTGGACTGAACAAGTACGACAGACAGCCAGGCTCCGCAGCATGACAAGGACACCTGGGCAGTGGGGCATGAAGCGAGCAGGGCTCACCTCTCTCACTCTGCTGGCCAGACCAGGAGGAGGAGGTCACAGGAACTCTGATGGAACATGTGAACATACCAGTCTCACCTCATTAAAAAAGTAAAAACTAGGGGATCCCTGAGTGGCGCAGCGGTTTGGCGCCTGCCTTTGGCCCACGGCGCGATCCTGGAGACCCGGGATCGAATCCCATATCGGGCTCCCGGTACATGGAGCCTGCTTCTCCCTCTGCCTGTGTCTCTGCCTCTCTCTCTCTCTGACTATCATAAATAAATAAATTTAAAAAAAAATTTTAAAAAGTAAAAACTACAAAGACAATAACGCAAACAGTGAGTGGGTGATGTTTTCCCATCTTCTTTATACTTCTATAAAGCATTAAAAAAATTTTTTTTAATTTTTTAGTTACTGGAGGGGCAAAAAAATCACCGTTTAAGATATACTCAATTCCCAGATATTTCTATCTATCTTTAATGTCGTGGATTTCTGGACTCTAATTCCATCCATCCATCAAGCCACGCAAGCATCTGCCATATTTTCATGGGCCAAGAACCCGTACAAGGGAGGCAAAAGTGGAAATCGGTACTGGGGTGTGTGTGCACGTGTACATGTGTATGACGGGCGAGAGAAGCACTCGGGACCAATGAGATAAGCAGTCAGCCACCCCCACCCCCCACCCCCCCCACCCCCCGCCACAAGCTTTACACACAGGCACTCTCTGCCTGGGCTGTCCTGGACACCTACTGGCTTCTCCTTCAAAACTGCTGGTATCTCCCCTTCCAAGGAGCCCTTCTTTCCACCCCTGAATGGAAGGTGCTCCGTGGGCTTCCCCTCTGTCTGCAAAGTGCAGAACAGCCAAGGGTTTATGCTCTCAGACCTTTGCTCAACAATGTCCGTCCTCACTGCTCTTTCCAGGTGGGGTGGGGGTGGGAGCAGGGAGGCATCCAGGCTCAAGTGCTCTGAGCCACTAGGCTGAGTCCTTAAGTTGCAGGGAATAAAGTGCCCTGTGGAGGCCACATGACTAGCAGGCCAGAGTGTTGGGGGCACAGTAAGAGCCCGGTAGTCTTCTTTGCTCTCACTATATTTTCTCCGTAGATCTTTCGTCTGATCTCAGGGAGGTGATGACTATTTACATGCCGAACTCCTGAATTTTCATCCCTGGTTTTGGGCTCCAGGTCCATGTATCTAACATCTACTAGCCTTTGAAGCCTGTCAAGTACAGTTTCCCTCCACTCCCCAAACCTACTCCTTCTTCAGTCTTCCCCAGTGTGGAAGGGACAGCCAGAAACAGTGTTCATGCCTCTCTCCAATTCAATCTCTGAGCAGTAGCCAGGGAATTTTCAAAAACACCAGCCTGACCTTGTGCTCCTGCTTCCTTCTGTGGGAATCGCACGCCTCAGCCAAGAGGCAACAGCTGGGCGCCACCCTAAGTGGCACCACACTCCGGTCTCACAGCCTCCTGGTACACCACCCTCCCCGGGTCCATGGCCCCCTCTCCATTCTCCTGGTCTCAGCTTCTTTCCTACTCAAGGCCTTCACCTGCTCTCCCTTCTGGGAAACTCTCCATCTCAAGCTGTTCCATGGCTGGCCGCCTCCTCAGGGGAGGTTCCAGCTAGAGCACAGCAACTACTTCATAAATGTCCTCCACCACCCGTTTGCCTCTCCCTGCCTCCCCCCCCCCCCCCCCCGGTCTCTGCCTCCTCATCCGGCACATGTCACCATTTGCCCCAAGCGTGTGTGAGGGGTGCTACTGTTTACATATCTACCCCTCTCTCAGCAGTTATCTACAGGGCAGGCTCGAGTAGGCACACAGAAGGTAACCAAGGTCTGTTGCCTGGATGAGACATGGTCGCTGCTCTCGTTCAAGCCCTCAGCTCTCACACGTACAGGCACCAGCCTCCTCACTTGTCACCCTGCTACTCTCTCCATTCTGACCCACCCTCCATAAGCGCTGACAAGCACTCTAAAGGACACACTTGACACAGTCACTCTCTTGATCAGAAGCCCAAAACTACCTTTACAGCCTCCAGTGTCAGATCCAAGCCTCTCAGCATGTCAGGGCATTTAGAGTCTGGTTCCGACGCACCCGCTGGCTCCACTTCCCACCTCTCTGAGGCCTACCTGCTGCCATGGTCATGCCTGGCCACCCAACACTCCTCTGCACACCAAGCAGTTTGCTTTAGCTCTGAGAGCCTCTCTCACCCTTCCCCAATTCCTGTGCATCTTTCAAGACCCAGATTAAGTGTCACCTTCTGGAAATCTCAGACTTCCTTCATCAAACTTAACTTCTGCTTTATGGTATTTGATACACACTGAAGAATACAGTTAACACATATCCTCTGGCACTTTGCTCCTGACACCCTGATAACATGCCCCAGTACCCTATCCATCTGCCTTACTGAACTGTGAGCTCCTAGGAACACAGAGGCCCAGCCATCTGGCGACCACATGTGGTGGGGCTTACAGTCTGTGAAAGTAATTTCAGTTCCACCTCTGTAGTCAATGTACTACCTGCCTGGACAATTCACTTACCTTCTCTTTGACTATTTCCTCATCTGTGGGATGGTAACAGCTACCCACCCGACCATGAAAAGGACAAATATTAAACACTCTGAAACCTCTAACTCTCATACCAATGCAAAGCATGGCGTGATGATGGCTTTCACCACCATTCCTGGCACTCTTGGAGAAACAAACCTCTAATGACCCTTGCTCTTAGACATCCTGACCAAAATCTGATGAAAATCGTATCCACACAGCCAAAGAATTTCCTTACTGTGAAAGCCTCATGCTATAAGTGCCAAGCTGGCATTTAACCATACATAGCCCTAGTATGGTGAACAGACATTTTTCAAATAAAATATAAGACAAGTATGAAACCGCTCATGCTTGAATCACCAAGTGAGGAGCTGCTTCCTAGCCTGCAATCCCTACTGCTGTCCAGAGCAAGAGACAGATCTGGCTGATGCATCTGAGCACTCTCAGAGCCCCAAGACTCCTGCCTCCCCCATGATGACACACAAGCCCCTCTTGTTCTCAAAGTGGCATTCTGTGCCATCCTCAGCGGGAGGAGCCTCCTGATCTCATTTGCCAATAGCCCTTCCTCCTCAACAACATGCCCCCTACCTGAATACAAACAAAATCCCACAATGACTCCAAATTCAGTTTCTGGTGACAATGCAAAGACTGGTTGCTCCCCCACAACCACCACCAGGAGGGGAGAAAAAAATCATTCAGCTACCGGGAAATCACTTCCTCAGATGTTATTAATAAAACATTTAGGTAAATAAAAGTTTTCTGCTTCAGACTTATTTTTAACAGAAAATGGGATAAATACTTCTCTTCTAGAGTTTTGTCAATCCACATGGCAAGTTCTGTTTCCTGTCAACCCAGTTGAAACTAGAAAAGGAGATGGCCTGGTTCAAGAGATCTCACCAAATCCATTGGCAATGCCAGACAGAAGCATTGTGGATGGGGACCAGCTGTGTGTGGACAGTGCGGGCCAGGACACTGCAAAAGAATCCACATTTTAACTGCAATCTGTCAACTTGAATATTATTGCCCCCCAAAAATTATTTCTTATAAACCAGAACCTATAATGCACTTCTATTTCAAGCTTATAACATCAAAACCAGGAAACAGCAAAAAACCATTTGTCCTTCCTAAGAGAGGGGTCCTATGTAACCTGACTCTTGTCACATCAGGATCGAGGTCACAAGTCAACCCTGGGGCCCTGGGCTTCTAAACTGGCAAGCCCCTTACAACTTTTCCATTTGCTGAGAAAGTCACACTGAAACAGAGAAGTGAGAACACTGAATCTACAAATGGCAATTCTGCGGCCGAAAAGCACCCCCGACAGCTTTACCATACACCATCTATGTGGCAACTGTTACGTGCCACATCTAACAGTTCTGACATGTTCCTGAACACACAGCTCACATAGCTCAGGCTCCTTCCAGAACAAAACTGGAGACGCTAGAAATCAAACACATGCTATAAGACTAGCAAAAGCTATGTCCTGTGATCCATCTTTAAATGCCAGCATTTCAAATATGTCAAAGGTGATGTTACAGCAAATATATCTAAGAGAAAGAAAGCTACTCTTTAGCCAAACACCTGTCAAATGGAGACACAAAAGACTGAGCTACAATTTAAGTGGCCTAAGGAAATATTATCAAGTTCTTCAATCTGCATGAAATTTTCTGGTGATGTGAACAAGGTCCAGAATTCTGTATTTTCTTATTTAAGCTATAAATATCAAGTGACAGTTTTGTCCCTGTCTCCATTATAAAAGAGTTTTAAAGCACCTGCTAAAGGCAGCTGAGCACGCTCCATAAAAATTGCACAAAACAGTTCCCCCAAGGAAGAATAGATATGTCAACAAGTTAATCACCACATTTAAACGGGTAATACTAGGTAGGACAGTGAAAGAATGAAAAATGGGCTTTAGCTCGGCGTGTAAAATAAGGCCCACTGCCCTTGGTAAGAACGTATAAATTCTTAAAGGGATTCTTAACAGCTAAGACAGGGTGCTACTTACTTCCTCATTAAATAGTTTGCTAGTTTCTTTTTTGATTGGATCTATAAGCTGGACTTGGCCTGCGGAAAAGCCCACTAGGAGAGAGACACTTTCTGCTGTGGCTGTTAGGTGGTTGAAGTCATGACAAGTAGGCTGTGTTCCTTTGTATATCCTTTTATCTATTGGTTTACTCAAGTCAGCAGCCTGGAGGAGAAAGAGAAAAATACATACGGTAAACAGCACATTGAGATGAGAAATCTAATAGTTACACTATTTTATACTCCATTACGATGTTCAATCTTAAAAACAAAGGTATTTAAATTTTTGTTTCAGTTTTCAGCATTTTGTAAAAGCACTTTCACATACATAAGCCAATTTGATATTGTCAAACTATTCATAATATAACTGTTACCTCCATGACTTATTCTTCAAATATCTTTAACATAAGCTCCTGGACTTCAGGAGGAAAACTCCTTGAGATAACTAATTCAGTATTTGCAAAATGCATTCATTCCAAGCAATTTCTAACAGAGTACCTCTAACCACATAAAAACTCAGCTTGCAAATATATCTATGGCATCTAAATGCTCACTGGTGAGTTACCTGTAGCCCAGGGGTTCTCAAAGTGTGGTCCCGAGACCATTGGTGGCAGCAGCAGCATCACCTGGAAACTCAGAAATACAAACTCTCAAGCCCCACCCCACATCAAATGAATCTGAAACTACAGGGGTGGGCCTAGCAAGCCTTCCAGGTGATTCCGATGCCCACTCCAGATTTGAGAACCACTGCTGCAGCCAATTATAAGCAGGTGCCTTCTTAGTGGGTCCCGGTCCCTCTTCTGCATTAGCTTTCAGGTACCTTCACTTACTGAGGCCACACACCAAAGTGCGTGACACGCATCATCTTTAAACCTTACAATGATCCCTCAAAGTAGAGAACGTTCCCCCATTTTGCAGATGAGAAAACAAGTTTAGGGAGGTTAAATAACTCGGCCACCATACCTACCTAAGTAAATAAGCAACTGGATGTGGAACCCAGGTCTGTTTGACCATAAAGGGGATGGGGAGAACACACACCCACACACCCCAAAGTCAGAAGCAAATATTTCTGACTTGGGCCAAAAGTGATTTTTCAATCTGCCTCCCACTAAATCCCTAAAGCAGGACTTTTTTCTTCATGAGAAATGTTCTGTGCAATCTAATGTGCTGGATTCACGTGGAAATTAAGGACACCACCCTCCATTCTTAGTGGGAAGTCACAGGTGCAGACAACCAGGCTGCTGAGCCCATCCTCTGACACGACCACGTGGGGCCGTGGGCCACGGCTCTCATTATCTGCTGACCAAACCCTAGTTAGGTTCTGAAAATTTCTTTCCCCCAAAGAGGCCTGTGACATTGTGCCGAGGATTCTGTTTCATTTTCCAAATAACAAACACAAATACTGAGTAGAAAAGAGGACCTCAAAAATCACAGGCATCTTTGAGCAAACTCCAAACCCGAGCATTTGAAGTGTGGACCCGAGTGGAACGGGATCTCTGAGAGCCCAGGGCTGAGGAATGAAGATACATGCCATGCGGACACTCTCCCAGCCTCACCTCGGTTAAAACGGAGATGAGAATCTCTGTTCTACCAACCTCATGGGATTGTCTGGAGGATGAAATAAGAGAATATATACGTGAAAGAGGCTTGAAAAGTGTAATATAAAGCACGATACAAAACACAGGGAAGTCCTGACTTTGCAACAAGGCAAAATGGGGCCAGTTCAGAAGGGAGTAAGTGCTGAGGCAGGCTGAAGGCTGTGCCCTGAGGAGGTATGAGGGAGCTTCAGGGACCAGAGAAAGCCACCTCCACCCCCTCCCGTTCCCCCAGGCCAGGGACAGGCCACCTGAGGGAAGCTGCTCCCAGGATGGGTCCTGAAAGCAGGGAAAAAGCAGCTAGACTAAGGGACCTTTAGCAAATAATTTCAGAGCAGAGAAAGTATTGGTAAATGTCAAAAGAGCCCAAACTAGAAAAAGACATTGGCAGCTAGAGACAAAAACCAAATCTGAAATACGTACAATTATTACATGATCTCTACACCAGCATATATCTGAGAATTTTTTTAAAGTTTGCTTAGGGAATTTCCCCCTTAAAGAACATATCTAAAATTATGCATAAAACTATAAAAATCAATTCAAAGGCAAGACAAAAATTAGCAGAGAAAACAATATAAATTAAATGAGCAAAAGAACATCCAATGGTTTTCAGAAACAACAGAGGAACTAAGCACATCCATTTTCCTGAATATTGTTACTAGGGTAGAGTTAAACTTCCAGACCCCTCCCAGTAACTACATTAGCTCAGTTCTTGGTATATTTACTATATATCCTGCCTAATAAGGAACTTTATTGAAAAGATGTCATCTGTAATTAGATCACATGTATTTTAAATGCCAATAGAAAGACTACTTTTACTCTTAAATCATGTAAATAGTCCCAAAACATCCTGCTTACTAATCTGCTTAACAACTTTCTTCCCAGACCAGGGCTCTCACAGTGTACCAGTCTGCACCAGTCTACAGGCAAGATTAAGTACAGAGATGAGAATAAGCATTTAGAAACTTTTATGGCAATCGGACAGAGTAACTTTCTGTTGACTCAATAATAAAAATTAGAATTTGTATTGTGCACCTCTATCATTTTGTTTCCCAGTATCTTTTTTTTTTATTTTAATAAAGTAGCAGTCTAGACAGATGGAAAATTTTAACAATTGGTCCTTCAACACTGGTGAGAAGCACTGCCCTAGGAGGCACAAAAGTAAACCAAGGCCCAAGAAACACTCAGAATCTCTCTCATCTGGGGTGACTCCCTGTCCCCAACCCCCAACGGCACCAGCCTTACTAGAACAGCAAGCAACATGGCCCCTACAGCAAGCACGAACTACTGTGAAGCCCTATGTGACTGCTAGGTATATGCCCGTAAGAAATTCGACTTCTGAGAAACCCATGGACTCCACCACAGGTCACTGAGCTATATGGAGCCCAACACCAGAGGGAGAAAGTCTGGTTACCAGTGCCTGCCTTCATCTCGAGCAATGCCGTCATCTCTGACCCATTTTGTCCTCTTTCTTCTGCAACCAATCACCAAGTTCGATCTCTTTTCCTTTTTTTTTATAGATTTTATTTTATTTATTCATAGAGACAGAGAGAGGCACAGACACAGGCAGAGGGAGAAGCAGGCACCACACAGAGAGCCTGACGTGGGACGCAATCCCAGGTCTCCAGGATCACGCCCTGGGCTGCAGGCGGCGCTAAACCGCTGCGCCACCGGGGCTGCCCCTCCATCTCTTTTCCTATTGATGTGTTGCTGTCCTATTTCTTCTTCCTCCTCTTCCTCTCTTCTTTGGGGGTGGAGGGGTGCCAACACAGACACTGAATTTACACACCTTTTAGTAGCAGTAATAACCACCTGACCAGCCATGCCTCTTCTGCATGGGGTTGTTAGATGGCTTCCCAGGGAGAGGAGGTCAGGAGAAAGAACCCAGACTTTGGAACCAGGCAGGCCCAGGTTCAAAGCCTGTCTTCCCTCTGGGAAGACAGGTGGCCTCGGGCAAAGTACTCCACAGCAAGGGAGTGGTGAGGCCCACCAGGAATGGATCTACAAAGCACAGGGCGTGCAGATTCACCTGACTGGCAGCTACCATTGTTAATCTGTCCCTGTCATAGCTTCCTAATTTCCCTTACACTGGAGTGACACCGACTTCCACCTGTGGAATGAAACATTTGCTGGGCACCAGTGGCTTCACATTCACATCTCTCACATCACAGTCCGCCCCCAAAATATCCTGCCTTGGGGGCACTGATACCACTCGCCTGCCATCCTCTGAGGAGGGACAGGGAAGGGACTCAGTCCTTCAGGGCCCAGGTCCCAGCCCTGGGCAGGCCCTCTGTGGGAGGGCGGCCCTACTGCTGGGGGGTGGGGTGGGGATTTTATCCAGCGGTTCAAGCCCCACCTCCAAAAAGCTTTTCCCAAACCCCGTTCTTTGGGTTGGCTCCTTTATCTCAATTCTCAAGTCCTTAATTTGTTCCACAAAATTTAGTATCTAATCGCTTATATGATTATAGTATTGTTTTATGTCTATTATCATCAATTACAATAAAATTATAATTACTATAAAAAATTACAATAAAACTCCTTTAAGGAGAACTTCTTTATTAAGCAATAACCACTGTATTATTCCACAAAATCAGCCTTTATGTTTCAGCTTTCTGGTGAATTCTGCATAGATGAGTTAGATCACTTGGAATTTTTTTTAATGCATCTGCATCCTAATTATTGTTAATTACCTGAATTCTTAAACACGAATTTATAGCGGAATGTATTTTTAAAAAATTTTACCAATGTTAAGAGTTAGATCACATTTGGTTACTCAGCCCCAGCAGTGTCTGGTCTGTCACAAGTGCTGTCTGTTGAACAAATGAAACTCAAGTATTCCAAATTTTTCAGGGGTTAAGATTAAATTGTATTTTATGCTCATTTGTTTCTGCATAAGAAGTTACTGATTACAAATAATCTGTGTCTTGTTCTCAATAGAAAAATTTTAAATGATGATTTATAAATTCCTACCACAGACACAAGCTGGTTATCAAAATCCTTGATCAATAAGTACAAACAAAAATGTCATAAAGGTCTGCAAAAGAAGTCCTCTTATTCCAGCTCACTCTTCACCCCAGGCCCCCACCTGACCTACTGGAGAATGCCTCAGCAAAAGGAAAGCTCCCACAGGCTCAATGGGTCTGCTTATACTGCCAGGGCCCCCGCACCCTGGCACAGCCCTTAGCAGAACTCAGAGAAGACATGTGGGCTTGTGCCAAGCCCCCTTCATGTGAACCTGCTACTTGACATTCCTGAATGCCTAGAAGCATCTGATGTGATACGGAAAATATCTCAGAAACACATCTTTTTGAAAATGCATGTCAGATTATGATATATGAGGGGGAGGGCAGTGTCAGTAATAAGGTGGGATTTTCCCTAAATTTTATATTTTCCTTCCCCATCTGAGAATCACTTCAGAGGGAACCAGTCGCATAGAACTTGTCAGAAAAGAGTCCATCCACCCATATCTACCCACATCCAACATAATGCTAGATTCATCTTCATGAAGCCTTAGGTCACTCTTCCATTTAAAACCTCCATGGCTGTGCCCTAACACTGGCTGAATTCCTCA